CCGCAGAGCAGGGGACCCAAGCCTCCCGGCCGAGGAGCCTCCCCGGCAGCCCTGCCACCGGGCGTCCGGCTCGGCCCTGTCTTAGGTCTCCAGAGCCCGCTCTGCCTCTCTGGCTGCCACCGCGGGTGCTTTGAACCATCCCCTACCTCATGCGTGCAGGGTGGCAGTGAGCACACGGACGCCCGAGCTAACCAGCGAAAGGGCTTGCGATGCTTACTGTATTTACGAGATGCATAGACAGGTAGAGAGATAAACGCTTAAAACAAATTCTCCTCAACGCGAGTCTGGCGGAAATACAACAGAAGGCCCAACGCTGGGCGCTCGACGCCTCCGGGCTGCAGGCGCGGGAAGCCCACCCCGTCTGCCCCAAGACCCAGCCGCTCTCCTGCCCCCAACCCCCACAGCATTTCCTTCCAGAAATGCAGACATACGCGTCCTTCCAGCCTAGTGGGGTTCAGCTTAGGCGGGAATCTCCAAACAAGGGACACCTGCTCACCTTTCAGGGTTGGTAAGGGAGGAGCATGGGGCGGGGGAGAATGGCCTGGTCGTCTGCGCTGCTTAGAATTTGCCTCCAATGAGGTCACAGTGACTTCTGTGTGTCCTGGTACTGGGTTGGCATCGTCTCTTCCCTTGTTTACCTGCGAGGTGACTCCCGTGGGCGAGATAATATACGCAAGAAGAAAAAAGCAAAAGAACCCAGTGACATTTTTAGTATTTACCAAAATGTGTTCTATAGAAATATAACTAGTAAGCAAACACAGGGAAATGCCAGCCTCATGTGCAGTGAAAAACATGCAAGACAAAACAACACGTGCACACCTTTTTCTGTTTGTCATTATGCCCGACGCGGGGGAGGGGCATCCTAGAGTTCAGGACTGGCGAAAGGACTTGGACACTGGTACTCTCACCAATACTACTGGGTGCTTATACTCTTAATATCCGTTTGGAAAGAAATTCGGCAATATGTATCAAACTCATAAATTTTTCATACCCTTTAATTTATGTAGTACTTTTGAGTGTCTATTCCACGGAAATAATCTAGAATTTTTTTGTAAAAATTTCATGCATGAAGATGTTTATTACAGCATTATGTTTTGGAGAAAAATAACCTAAATAGTCAACAAAAGAACAGTGGCTTAGAGAATAGATTCGGTTGTTTGTTAGTACGTTATAGAATCATGGAAACCAATTATGAAACCCAATAACACGAGGATGCTTGTGAAATACTAATTTTTTAAAAAGCACAATGCAATAGCATAGGATTATAAATGTGTAAAAATCTTAGTGAAATGTAAGGGCAATGATAATACCCATTGTTGGTTAGGCTGTAGGGAAATTAGAAAACAATTTTCTGGTGGGGATTGTAAAGAGGGGAAATGTCTTCTCAGAACATTTTGGCTACAAATGTGATAGATTTGACCCAATCCCTATAGAAATTTATCCAAAGAAAATAATCAAGAATGTTTGTAAAGATGTAGTTACAAGGATGTTTATAATGTTTTTAAAAGGGAAAACCTAAAAATCTAACAATAGGGGATAGTAAATAAGTTACACTAAATTATTAAGTTAAATGGAATGTTATGAAGTCTTAGAAATAATGCAACAGAAGAATGTTTAATAATATAGAAAAGGGTTTGAGATTTATTAGAAAATGTGAAAAAAGAATATGAAGCAGTATGAACTTCAGGAACATTTTTTTAAAAAAGCATGAACACCGTACACTTAAAAATGGTAAAGATGGTAAATTATATTTTACCTCAATAAAAAATTGTCTAAAGTGGGAGGAGTAAAAAAATGCCAAAGTGTACAAGTGGTTGTCTGTACAGTGGATATTGTAGTTTATTCTCTTTGCTTTTTTCAGTTTTCTCAATGAGCACATTATTTTATAAAGCAGAAAAAACTAATAAAATGCTTTTAAAAATATTAGGGAAAAAGTAAGGAAAGATATCAAAATACTATTCAAAAGAATATTAGGAAAAAGGTATATTAGGGAGATGCATTATGGAATTTTCCCTTTTTCTCTTTTCCAGATTTTCTGTAAAGTGATTATTTTTCAGTAATATTAGTAAAAGATAACATTCATATGCAGTGAATGTAAAGCATATATAGTAGTTAGTTTTATAATTTAAAATTATATTTTAAAAATGCTCTCTGCAGCTCCTGCTTCCCTGATTTGAACCTGCTGGGGTCCTGCCATTTTCCCATTGCATGTCACTAGCCTGTCACTAGGTGAGGAACAGCCTTACTGTGCTGGGGACTTTTCTCTGCCCAAGACTGATTCAGGGAATACCACTTTCACCTGTGTCGCTTGGCAGACAAGCCCAAGAAAGTCAGCTTAGCTCTCAGTTCTTGCACCTGTAAGCAGCAGCACCAACATACCTTGCACCCCCATGCGCACACACACAGTGCAGCTCAGCCAATAAATGCCCTTTCCACATTCTGAGGCTTTTCTTTTCTTTTCTTTTGAGATGGAGTCTCGCTCTGACGCCCAGGCTGGAGTGCAGTGGCATGATCTCAGCTCACTGCAAGCTCTGCCTCCTCCCAGGTTCACACTATTCTCCTGCCTCAGCCTCCCCAGTAGCTGGGACTACAGGTGCGCCCCACCACGCCCAGCTAATTTTTGTATTTTTAATAGAGACAAGATCTCACCATGTTGGCCAGGATGGTCTCGATCTCATGACCCCATGATCCGCCCACCTCGACCTCCCAAAGTGCTGGTATTACAGGCGTGAGCCACCGCACCCGGCCATTCTGAGGCTTTTCTAAAAGCATTTGCCTCTTGTATGAGCTGGGTGCCATTCCCAAGATCCTCCAATAACATCTATACCAGCCGAGACATTTCACTTCCCCTGGGACCTCAGCTTTCCCATCTGCAAATGAGGAACCCCTAGCAAAAAGCTTTCCTTAAACAGATTTTAGTGCCTACTGATGTTGATGGTAATAATAATAATAATAACAACAACAACAACAACATAATAGCATATGGTAGTAATGATAACAACTAATATTTATTGAAAGTTTGCAACTGTACCAGGCACCAAGGCAAATGCTTCTAGCTGCATAATTCTACCTATTCTTCATGAGGAACTGATACATGGTATTATCATAGCTACTTGGTGGATAAAAAATCCGAGGCTAGCAGGGGCTAAGCTGTTTTCTACCCCCAGAGAATGCGAGAATGGCTGAATCCCACAGAAGTCCAATAATCTCTACTATGGAATGGTCCAGAAAGATCCTTGGGGTGGGACTCAGTTTGGATTAAAATCCCTGAGCTGACTCAGCAGGGTTTTTCTCACCACAGTGCACCCAGGGCTGGCAGGTGACCTCCCAGGAATGTTCCTCAGAGCCAGCCATATCCCTTTGGGCCAGGACCTGGTTGGAGGCTGAGCACTGGAGGGTGGGCCTGTGGTGGGGTGATGTGGCTTTCTTCAGGTCTAAGTTCTGTCAGAGAAGTTGAACAATAGCCAGTACAAAGTACCCGGTACTTGCTAGACATTTATACACTCCATTTCTGGAAACCAACCCAACATGTCGGGGGATCTAATTAAGAGACAAGACACTCAATTTAGGAAAATGATTATAACTTACATTTGTCTAGCATTTTACATTTTACAAAGTTCCTCCACATATTTTATCTCATTTTATCTTCATAATTATGCCCGGGCTTGGGTATGATTATCAGGAACAGAGAGGTTAAGTGGTTTGCCCAAGGTCACACAGCTAATAAATTGCAATGCCAACTGGAAATTAAATCCAGTCTTTTGAGTCCCAATCTGGTGCTCTCTCCACTCGGCACAGCAGTCTAGTGTGTCTTCTAACCCCTCCATTTTAAGAGCTTCACAGACTAGGCAAGTTCACTTTCAGATGCCAGGAATCCTGAACCCCAGGCTCTTTCTCCACTGAGGGACGAATCTCACTGCCCCTGCTCCCCTCCCTGTCATCCCAGCTCTAATCATCTTCTCCTCATCCTCATTCCTCTCAAAGCCCCTTTCATCATTTGCATTTTGAAACTGTTTCCTTAATTATTCTCCTGCTGTTGGAAACCTGCTCTCCCCGGGCTCCGTGGCATCCTTTGATTTATCTCTGTCTGGATAACAGCTCCCCAATTCTCCTTGGGGAATTCAATTTTCATTCATTTTTC